GCTGTAGATTACAGTACTCATTTATTACATAGCCCCTCGAAGGTATTTAGATTTCTTGTGCTTCCTACCCTAGATCACTATACCCAGAGCTAAATATTTTCCTTTTACTACGCATGTATACATATTTATTTTCCATATATATATTTTTATATTTATAGTGTATATTCATTTTGAACATGTTCATTCCTAACCAGATCACGTCCATCAGACTCGAGCAAGCAGTCAACCAAGCCTATTGCTCATCTACAGCCGTCATCGAGGCCGCAGGGGAGCGCATCTCTGCTCTCGGCTGGTGGGCGAAGTGGGGCCTTCGAACTGGATCCCAGGTACCCTCGATACGCGCGCAACACTTCGCCCACCGTTAGCCTGCGAAGTGGACAGACCGGTGCCGGCTGGGGTCGGCAGTCCGAGCTGGACGTCGGCCGATCTGATAATGCTGGCTTATTCTCTACGGCTGGAGGTTCTCACATCTCGCCAACCTTGCCACAAATCGCTTCAGCCAGTGGTCGTCCTGGTGTCGGCGCCTCCTACAATCCCTTTCCAGCTACTGGGCCTGGCGGCGGCACCGGTGGTCTCAGCAGTGACTTGGACGACGATGATCCCGACACGAGAGTCAAGTCTCTTAGTCGATGGCAGAGGCAAATCCCCGTTGAGCAGACACACCAACAGCCTCGGCCAATGAAAGGTATCCCGACCGGGTCGACGGTCGGCTTAGACAGCCCAATGGCGGGCACGAAAAGTTAGCATTTGTAGTGGCGTAGCTTTTAATTATACTTCATGGCAGCAGAACTGGAACTTCATAGATTAATGGACGGCATAGTAGGTACGGCTATTCGCATATTTCCTCAGGTCGGCTATTTTAAGGCGAAACCTTCAGGATGCTTAGTTCGCCAATCTCAAGCAAGCTTTGAGGCCTACAAACGACTTATTTTCTGTCCACTCGGCTATAAATGATATTGTTGTCCTTGAGCTTCTGAACTAGAGAAGCATAATAATTTATTTTAGATTTGGTGTTTTGGGTATCAGTTTCTGCTGAGAATAAGACCTTCATCTATTGACTGTGAGAAAATTTGCTCCTTGAACTCATTTATTTTCTGTCGGTTCCTCAAGACTCACTAACTATTCTGTCCTGCCTACTCTACCATGCTAGGAGAGTGCAGCAGGGTAACAACTTTACAGCCTGTCTCAAGATAGGCAGGTTTTGTTGTTATATGCTTAAGTGTATGATTGACTCACTTCAACTGGGCTTTGGCACTCTTTTTTCTGAGTTGTAGACATGGTGGTTAGTGCATCTAATCACTTTATTTATTTAGTTTAGGAATATAAAGTATATTGAATATTCTCTTAGAGCAGTAATTATTGCCAATGCATGATTAGCGTATTTTCGTTAGATTTTCAGTATTTAAAACAGAATGTACCAAAGCTTTGTAACTTTAGGAGTAACTCGAGAGTTCAGTGCTAAAATAGCCAAA